ATTCGCAGCCTGCCTCAGTCAGGCGGAATGATGGCCTTCCAAAAGAACATCGAATTCGAACATGAAGTGATGAATGCGCCGGATTTCTTCAGCATCCACGGCAGCGGTGCCTCAGCTCCCCCTGAGCCAGACCTTGGCCAGCGGTCCCCACACCTGGGAATAGGATGCCTGGCGAGTGCCAGCATTCAGATTCACATGGTGCGAATTTTCACACCAAAACTCCCACCACAGGTCTCCTTCCAATTCCATTCAAAGCCACTTTGCATAGTCCAAAAAGTGGGGACCCTCCCGGCACCCCGGTGAAAAAGGCGGTATTGTGTTTTGGTTTGTAAACAGTCACGTGGACGTTTCTGAATTTGCCTGCCTCCAGGAAAGGGAGTGGCGATCACAACACGAGTCCAGAGTCCCTGCAGCCAGGCACCTGGACCAGCCTGGGGAGCCTCGCCACGAGTCACATAAACCCAATCAGCGAACCCTCCACTATCTGACCAGTAGGATTCCGGCTTCTCCAGCTCAGAGTGATTTTCGTTTCCTCACTTCCCTCAGCTTTCCCTGCCTGGAGCTCTTGCTAAAATTAGCCTCAAGGTTGGAGGAACTGGCTGCAAGGTTCAGCCCCAACTGGAAATGTTTTCCATCCTTGGACCCAACCTCGAATGCTAAACATTTCTAGCATTCAAAGAGGGTTTGTTTCAGTTCCCCGGTTTTACCCTCCTGGTTTCAAATGGCAGCCGAAGCAGAGGAGCCAGGATTCTGTAAGGAGAAACTCTCCCAAACAAGACTCCTGGCCCAACGCAGGCTGAAAGGGGCCAGGCGTCTCTGAAAGAGGTGGCCAAAGTCCTGGGTGCCTGTGGGCCGCAGGCTGCTGGGCTCCGAAAGGGATGGCTGTCACAAGTGGGGACGAGGTAAGGCCGGGTCCCCTTCTTTCAGAGGAAAGCACAGGGCTTGACACCAGCAAGGGGACGGCCAGAAAGCAGAGGCAGGGACCCGTGAGGAGGACAGCCCGGGGCCGGGCCCCTGAGGCCGCTGGGGACACTGCCTGGGAGCACGTGGCGTCTGGGACGACTCACAGATTGAACGCATTCCAAATCGCAAACTAGGTGAACACCGAGCACCCGCTGCCCCTTGAGGAAAAACGCGTTCTGTTTACATACACGTGGCCACCGGCCCGGCAGACCCCGCACCCCGAAGCCTCTGCACCGGGTGCGTCAAACCTCAAACCGCAAACTTGACCCAGACCCAGCGCCTGAGATGAGAGTGCCCAGCGAAGGCCCACAGAAGCTGTGTCTTGGCGGATGCGAGATCTCGTGGGTTCCTGCTGCCAGAAAACTCCAGGGCTTACCAAACCCTGCGGCAAGGTAACAAGGTAGACCTTTCAGAAAGCTCTTTCTCTAAGTTAACGAGAGATCCCAAGAATGTAAGAAAGTATCTGCACATTGTGCGCCAAGGCCCTGCCTGCTCCAGGCTCCCTGCAGCTGTGCTTCTCGGGCTCGATGCAGGCGGGGGGTCATGGGGGGGGGCGGCTGTGAATACACAGCCTCCGATTCGGGCTTCTGGGTGGAGCCCTGGATGCTGGTTCCCGCCAGGTCCCTGGTGACACCCTCGCTGCTCACCTGAGCCCCACCCCACCCCCATCCCCCCAACCCCACCCAGAGCAGGGAAGCTGTGAAACTCTAATATGTGAAACACAGATCCCCAAACAAGTTTTCATATCATTCCACAGCCTTCGTTGGATGAGTTGCTTTTTTCCTTTTCTGCTTGTTTTTCAATCCTATTTCCCCACAGAGCATCTTCATCCAGGGAAAGCTTAAGAAAAAGAAATGCTGAAACTCTTGTCCGGCTGTAAAAGAAATCCTTGTGGCAACTTAAACTTTTGTTACACACTCGTACCTGGGGGAGGGAGAGACGTGTGTTTGAGGCCGGTGTGCCCCGCAGCGGACGCCATCATGGGGTCCAGGAAGGTCTCTGGGAAGGAAGACCTTCCAGAGAGGGGCCTGCGGGACCCTCTGCTATTCAAAACCAAAATCGGGTCTCGGTCTTTCTTGACACCCTGGCAGCTGTGTCATGGTTTAATATCCGTCACTGAGGCCATCGTCTGCGTGACACAGAGGTTTCTGGAGGGTGCCTGTGGGGGAGCGCAGAGATTTAGAAAACTGCGGGAAGTGTGGCATGGAGAATCGGGCAGAATGGCGTCCTGGGATTTCAGACTGCACCCGGTGTTTGGGGGACCCTCTTTGGGGTCCATTTTCTGACCAGACTCTGCTTTGGAATGAACACGTTCGGGGCCAGTGCTCGGTAATCGCGGAATGAAGACGCCCAGCAGGGAATGTTTTCACTGGACCGGCTGCACACAGAACTCCGCGCGTTAATTATACGGTTATGCAACTGTGCATCTTTCCACCTCTGCCGGTATTTTTATAGAACCATTAAAAGTGGCACCTGAGCTTACCCTCCCCCGCCCCACAGTGACATGTGGAAGCTGCAGCCAATCTGAGCGAGGATGAACACTACTGTCCAAAGGCTTGGCAAAGCCACAATCGGCCGCAGCCACTCGGGGATAGCTCCCAAGGCCGCAGCCCAGGCTCTGAGTCACTTGCGGGAAACAGGGCCCAGGGTGTGGGCCACTGCACAAACTTCCAGGCTCCTAACCGGCCCCAGCTCGCCGAGCACTGAGTGCTCTCTGGGCGGCACCTCGATGACATACGTGTCTTTTTGCCTTGGCCCCCTGAGGAAGTGGTAAGGCCAAGTTCACCAGCAACCGGCTGAGTCTTTACTTGCTGTCATGACTCGGGGGCGGCCCAAAAAGGCTCCAACTGTCACCTCCCCAAGCTGTGAACTTCTGCTGTGGCTGCAGTAGCAGATAAACCAAAGGAAGACGGCACTGGCCGGTGGCCAGGCCTGCACACTCTGCCCCCTGGTGCCCCATCGAAGCCCCAGCCTGGGCGATGACAAACAATCGCAGCACAAGGCGAGGCCTCAGCAAACCCCAGCCTGACCCACAGACATCTTTAAATCGACTGGTTCTACGAACACTCCCCTGGGAAGGAGAGATGGCCAGCTGTAACTAAGCCAGCAGGGACAAGCTGGGAATTGGAGCAGCTAGCTAACACACCCAACCCCCCAACCCCCGCGCATCTGGACACCTAAGGCCGAAAGCATCAGGGGGTTTCTAGAACGAAGCATGAGAAACATTTCTCCGCATCGCCACTTGCATTGCTCAGTCATTAGTAAGGCTGAGCTGTCGCAGAGGTGGCAGCTGCGTGGCCGAGCGTTCAGCTGTCAGGGCCCTCCCAGGGAGGGGTGAGCGAAGAGGAGCAGGGACACACTGTGGCGAGGAGCCTGAACCTGGCTTTCTCGGGGACCAAAGCGTGCAGCGTCCCAGCCACGTGCGTGACCCGTGGACGTCAATGAACGTGGTGAGACAAACTCACAGGACGATTCTTGCTCATGTTCATAAGGTGTTGACACTGGACGAGCTAACTTAGCACAAGTCTGGGAGAAAGCAGACTCTTGAGTTTCAATTCCTGCTTTAGTCAAAACAGGCCTGAGCAGGAGTCCTGCCTGTGTGCGCCCTGGCAGCTGCACCTGTGCCGTTTGCCCTCCAGCTTGTCACCTCTGTGGATGTGGGCGTGGGCAAGACAGCGTGGAGGGGACAAAGCTGAGGGGTGTGCTGGCCAGGCGTCCCGCGTGCCTTTGCGTGTGCCGCAGAGCCGCCCACAGGCTAGGGTCAGCTCCTCAGAGGCCCCCATCTCACGGTTTCTCTGGGGGTGTGGGGGAGACCCTCCGTGTCCAGAGCACCGTGGAGGATGCACGAGGAGCCCAGCACAGCACAGCAATTCATTAGGAAAGGACAGTCTCACTTGATCTTGGAACTCTGGTCCGTGGGCAGGAAACAGGAAGGAATGCGTGTGCCCAGAGTGGCATGCCCACACGCAAAAGTCTCCCGTGTTTGGCACCTCCAAACAGGCCTGTCTCCTCGCTACTGCAGAGGACGAGCTAGATCATGCCTCCCGTCAATGCCCCAGGAAGGGCTTGCTCGGGGGAGGCCTCTCTGCTCCCCCCACCTGCTGCGCGCCAGCCCTCTAATGCTCGCTGGGCGGGTGCGGCTCCCCACGGCGCCGCTGAGCATTACCCCCAGTGTGACTCGGCGCTGGCGGCTCTGAGTGGAACAGAGGAAGGCGAGGCGAGACCTCTCACAGGTGAAAGCAGAAGACAAGTTTGTGTGTAGCCGCTGCCCTTGCCCCAAAGGCGACACTTCACTGTCTTTTCCTTTAGCTTCCTAATTTGAATGTGGTGCATGTGTGTGTGTGTGCGCAGGAGAGAACTATGATTTTTATTCCTCCTCTTAGGAGCCATAAAACCATGTCATTTTTTTCTATTAAAATGGTCTTTGCATCCCAAAATTGGAATATTTTCCCTCTTTTAGGCTTTAAAATTCTGGTGAGTTGCTAGAGCCTTTTAGGGCTCAGACTCTCACCAAAACATTTCCTTTCGCGTGTTCTCCCTGCAAAGTCTCGCGCGGTCTCACGCCGCCTTTGCCGGGGGCTGACTCCCCCTGCGCCCACGGCCAGCGCCCCCAGCGAAGGCACCCACACCCTCTCTGAGCAGCAGCCTGGTACCAGGGCAGAATTACTATCGAATAAGCAGCAAGGAAATCTTAATCAAAACAATCAGTACTTCCCCAAACCACAAATAACAACAGCAGGACTCCTGTCGCCCTGCATCAGCAAAGACCATTGAGAGAATGGGAGACTGAGTCACTTTTTGCTACAGTCGCTCACTCACAAGGTCTCCTCGGCTGTTTTCTTGCACAGCCACGAGGTGGGGGTGGGGGTGGGGGTGGGGGGGCAGCAGGAGGCAGGTGGAGGGGAAGAAGGGCATTGCTCAGAAAGTAAAAAAAAAAAATTTGACCTCATTGAAGTCACATGATTGGCAAGAACCAATTAAGAGGAGCTCTGGAAAGGGGAACAGTTAAATTTGTAATTTGGGTTGTGTGAAAACTTCTTTGGGCCCATAAACAACCACAGAACCACAAGTGGGGTAGGCTGGCAGTGCCGGGAGGCGACGCCGGCACAGTGGTCAGCAGGCAGGACGAATCAGAAGGGCTGCAAACCACAGGGTTTCGCAGGGCGGTGAACATCACCAGCCCACAGCCAAGAAAGACACCGCTTTTTTTTTAATCTTTAACAATTTGAATATTTGTTTTCGCAAAGGTACATTTTTCATGGGACTCGGGGAGCCCCAGAGGCATCGAGGGAAAAAAAAATGAAAGAGATGCAGGGAGCCGTGGCTGGGGGCGAGGTTCAAACAATGACCTTTCTTGGTTTTTCGCTCCTAAGGTAAGAAGAAATCAGTGACTCCCCCGCCTTCAGAAGAGGGTGCGTTTTCAGGAGGAGGCCATGGCTTCAGACAGCATATTTGAGTCATTTCCTTCGTATCCACAGTGCTTCATGAGAGGTGAGTACACACTGGTCTTTTAAATCTGCTTTTGCTCGGCTTTGCAGAGAATGTTGTAACTCAGTGCATTTAGCCGGCTGGTTCCCTGTCTGTCTGGTGGGAGGAATTCAAACGCAGGCTTATGATTACAAGGCTATTGGATTACTTATTCATCAGACGACAGCTCTTCAGAAACGTCTGAATAAATAGTTAAGCTGTTGAAGTGTTAGTCGGTGTGTGAGAACTCTGGCAAGTGCAAGTAAGCCGGCCTGCCCCTGGTTGGAGCCCTGCAGATGGCAAAGCTTGTGCGGAGCTCTCTGGGTTTCGTTTTTGCTCCCTCTTGCCCGGAGTGACGGCAGCTGAGTTATCCTGAGCCCAGCGTGCTCTGTGGCCCACAGTCCAGCCTGCCCGGGACTCAGAACTGCCTGCAGCGCCAGCCAGCAGGGCTGTGCCAGCCTGGGGCAGAGGCTTGCAGACGTGCATGAGACCAGCCAGGGCCATCAGGGCCAGAGTGGCCGCTTTGTGGTGCCCGGGATGCAGAGCTCGCAGGGGCCGGGCTGACGGAGCCGGGCGGAAAGCGCCGGGCTGCGGTTGTGTGTTGTTCCTTGTGGTCTCAGTGCAGAGGCAGCCGGCATCTTTCAAGACAGAAAGGAAGCAAGTCGTGGTGCAGGGAGACTTCTCTCACAAAGAGCAAGAAAGATGTTTCCTAAGTCAGGCGTTGTCAGCCTTCGGTTGCTAGATCGCAGGCTTCCTGAGTGGGACAGCTGGTGTGGCAAACCTGTTTCTGTCCTCGCAGCCAGCCCCCCGAAATGGGCAGTGCAGAAGAGGTGAGCTGTGAGTGGGAGCTGGTGTGTGCACGCTCACTCGGTGTGTCTTTGGTGAGAAAAGAGAGCTGTGCTAAAACCGGTAAAAATGTCACCAAGTCCTCGCAGAGTGTCAGGGCCTGCACGCCGACCAGTGGGCGCCAAGTGTGGCTGGATGGGCCAGCAGAGCCGGGGCAACGCGGATGGGCGAGGGGGTCATTCATTCTCTGGCTACGACCTCCCGAGTGCACCCAGATAGTGTCTGTGACTCATGACTTATTCATTCGGCCCAGAGAGCCAGAGAATGCAGAGGGCTGCTGGCCGCTTCGTCACGCCCGGCGCTGCTGTGAGTGCCACTGAGCTTCTGTGTCTCGGGGCCCTTGCAATTCAAACCCTTGGCCCAGGTGTGTGTGCACACGTGTGCGTGCGTGCGTGCACGCGCACCTGCGTGCGCTGGGGGTGGCGGGGGAGGGGGTGGGAGTCTCAGGAGAAAGGGAAGAAAGCAAGTCATTAACCGACTCAAAGCTCCAAATTAAAGGGTTTTCAAAGGCTTCTTTACTGGCAGCTGAGGACATGTTAGTGAAGTTGAGTCACGCGCTGTGAGTGAGTCACACAAGCGGCCCCTCCCCTGCTGCATTTCCTCTGGGCCGCTAACGAGTGAAGGAAGCAATATCGGCAGAATAACAGTAAAGAGACCTTCCTGCCTCAACTCGCTTTTCGTAACCCCGGTGCCCAGCGACGGTCTCCTGGTCCACTGACCCAGGAAGGCGGAGTCAGGGAATTGCAAACGCGTCCCTGGGCAGTGGGTTGGATTTCGGGCTGGGGTGCAGGCCTGCGTCTACCCTCACGGGTCAGACAGCAGAGATATGAGGGGACCCAGGCACCTGCACAGGCGCAAGGAAAGATGGGGGGCTGACGCCTATCCCATCCCAAAAGGGCTCATGACTGAAGGTGTTTTCATTTCATAGTCACAGAAAAGGCACTCGGGGCCTTTGACTGTCTCTACCAGGATGGTACAACGTGGAGTTTAATTTCAGAGGACCACAGTGGAGTCTTGGCAATGTCCCTGTTAAGTGCCTCAAGGTGACCCGTGGACAGGGCGGTTTCCATTGTCTGGATGTGCACCACTCCCTCAAGCTGAGGAGGTGACAGATGTCACTCCTGAGGGGACCCTTTGGGCATTGCCTCAGCGCTGGAGGCCGGCACCGTCCCCATGCTCTGCTGCACAGGGTCCTCCCTGAATCCGAACCCCGTGTCCACAGCCCAGCCACCAGCATGCCGGCACCATCCCCTTTTCTGTCACCCGTCATTCATAGCATGTGCTCCCTCCCAGCTGCCAGCATGAGCAGGAGGGGAAAACACCTGGTTTTCTCCCCAGGGTGGCACTGTATCAGTCCCTGCCCTTCTCACCAAAGGAAGCCCAGAGCTCACGGCTGGTGAGGTGCCCCTGTGGAAATTGGGGGGAAGGGGAGGCGTAGGCCCAGCCTCTGTGATACAGTCTGAGAGGCCGGCATGCAAAGCGAGTGTGGTCTACCACAGTGCACACCGCACGGCGCTCTCGCTGCGTCCGCAGAGGCCAGGAGATAAGAGGAAACCGAAATTCCCTGGAACGATCCCTCTGGCTTCGCACCACGAGGCTCTTGCTGAACCCCCCACTTTTGTCCCCTCTCGAGGTGCAGCAGAAGGTGCATCTTGTCCCCCCAAAGACTGCAGTAGGTGTGGGGAGGAAAACAGCGGCACAGGCATGTTTCTGCAGAATGCCTCAGATAGCCTTGTTCTTAGAAGTGGCTTAGTGGTCTCTGCAAAGCCTGAATGCTAATATGCCTCCGGGTTCCTAGAACCACAGGTAAAAATCTCGGCGGGGCTGACGTGCCGCCACCGCCGGCTCAGAGGCGTCCCTCAAAGGGAATGCCGGAGAGCAGACGAGGCCGAGTGTGGGAAGCGGGCCTCTCCGCAAGATCGGGCTGCCCGCATTTGCAGAAATACGTTTACGAAGGCACTTCTAGCTCAACTGAAGGCTTAAGATGACAGAAAAATGTAGATAAACCTGCGTATTGTGCACGGGGTGAAATCTGCATTACGTTCATCGGGCCGCCTGAACCGTGCTCCACGGCCTGGGCGGCTCCAGACGGAAAGGTGCCGTCTCGCAATTCTGGAGCCCAGATGTCTTAGCCAGGGCCCTGACGCTGCTGTGTCGCAGTGGAGGCTGCGAGGGGTTGAGAAGCTTGGCTTCTTCTGGGGCCTCTTTTCCCTGTGTCTAACCTCCTCTTCTGGTGGGGACACCCAGTGGCGTCGAATCAGGGGCCATGCTAGTGGCTTCGCTTAATGACCCCTGTAAAAAGCCCATCCCTAAAGGTGGTCACATTCTGCCACGCTAGGAGTTAGGACTTCAACACGTCGATTTAGGGGTGGGCACAGCCCGATCCAAAGCAGGCTGTCTGCGCCATCCCGAGTGCCCCCGGCCCTCAGGGCCGCTGTGCTTTCCCGGGGTGCTGTCCTGAAGGTGGAGGGTCAGACCCCAGCCCCCCGTGATGTGGGGCCTCGCATTCTGACACTTCCCACCAGTTTGGGAACTAATAAAAAAAAGGTGTTTAAAAACCTATCTAAACTCATAACAATACCCTTTGCCATGTACCTCTACACACTAAGAAACCTTTGAAAATGACAAAGCAATTTGGAAATGCTTGAGTTTTAAAAGAACAAAAAGCCGCCCCCAAAAGAAGCCACCGCCTTGGCTCTACTTCCTCCAGCGACATTGTCCCTGTGATTCAGAACCCTCCCAAGATGCACTGTGCCGCCGGGGCAGGGTGTGGGGCGCTGGGGAGGGGCACGGGAAGCCTCGCACCTGCGCCCACACCCAGGGCAGCAGCCACAGTGAGCAGCCAGGTGCGGGGCGTCTTCCGAGGGGGCCGCTGACCCAGGAACCAAAGGGCAGGACCCCTTGAGAGCTGCTGGAAGCGAAGAGCAGCCAGGAGGCCCCTCTGCTTGGAGCACGTCCGAAACGAGTGCTCTGCAAAGGCCCGCCCTGTGGCTGAGACAGAGAGGCCGGGGCGCACACTGGGGCCGAGGGGGCTCCGGGGCCCCTGCCCACAAAGAGACTGTCCCAGGGAGACCAGGACTGGGTGGATGTCCATCCGAGGGTAGAGCCGGGCGTTCACGAGAGTGGCCACCACTCGCAAAGGGCCAGCAGAGGGGGGCAGCCAGTGCGGGGGCAGCAACAGACAGCACGGTGACGCCTTCTCGTGCTTGTCCGGTCTCCCGGCTCTAGTCAAACAGCACCTCGTGGCTTCCCACTTGGGCCTCAGTGTCGTCTGCAGTAGCTGTCATTGAAGTGGCCATGCAGACAGACTGCAGAGCCTGCGTTGGGTGCTTCTCAGGGTCATGACCACGGGGCAGTACCGGTCAGCCTGGGCTCCCAGGGCTCCACTCTCCGAGAGGGTGCTCCGTCAGACTCCGTCTGTGCCGGGAAGGGAGAGGCCGCAGGGCCCGGGGGGACCACGGGGAGGCCCCCTGGAGGAGGCGACACAGGGTTGGGGAAGGAGATGGTGTGACGGGTGGACACCAGAGGACAGGGAGGGGGGTTCTTGAGGTGGGAGGACAGCATGGGCGGGAAGTCGGGCAGCAGGGACCCCGGTGGGACACGGGCAGGTGGTGAGGAAATCCACGCACGTGATGGCTTTTCGACTTCTTGTGTCTGCGAAGAAGAGAGGGAAGGAGAGAGGCCCAGGGGGCAGCTCCGCAAGCTCAGCTTCCACGTATTGGAGCTCGTTGGGGTGCACGGAGCTCGTTGGGGTACACAGAGCTCGTTGGGGTGCACCATGGCAGCAGCCTTCACAGGTGCCTCTCGGGTCGGGAGTCGCAGAGAAGCTTCTTTTCCTGAGGGCCCTTCTCAGGCAAAAAGCCACCTCGCCTGCTGAACCACACGCAGCTTCTCCGGGCACTGCAGGGGGGCGTCTCCACGCTCACCTTCGGACCAGGTGCCCAGTCAAAGCCGGGAGATGCGGGTGGCCCGGGCGGCTCATCTCGCTGGGGAGGGGGCAGAGGCCGGTACAGGAGACTCAGGAGCACTTTCCAACTTCTCGGGCAACTTCCAGTGACCTAGCTGAGTCACTCGATGCCTCCAGGTCTCACTTCAGTTCTGTAAAATGGGCCAGCAACGTTCTAGAGGAGCTCGCCTCGGAACGAGAGTTCCGTCCAGGGCGCTGAATGCTGCGTGGC